AATGTAGACCTTTGACTCTAACTTTGGTTGTGGGCAAATTGTTGGAGGTAATTTTAAAAGATAAGATTTATAGACATTTAGAGGGGCAAAAATCAATTAGGATAGTCAGCATGGTTTTGTGCCAGGAAAGTTATGTCACACAAACGTGATTGAGTTTTTTTGAGGAAGTTACCAAAAAGATTGAGGGCAGAGCACTAAATGTTATTTACTTGGACTTTAGTAAAGCCTTTGACAAGTTTCCGCATGGTACATGGGATCCAGGGTGAGCTGACCAATTGACACAAAATTGGTTTAATGACAGGAGACAGTGGTTGTGGAGGGTTGATTTTTTTTTTGGACAGGAGGCCTGTCACTAGGAATGTGCCACTGGGATCAGTTGTGGATCCTCTTGTTTGTTTATATAAATGATTTGGATGATAATATAGAAGGCAGGGTTAATAAGTTTGCGGACGACAACAAATTTGGTAGCATAGTAGACAGTGAAGATGGTTTTTCCAAGATTACAAACTGATCTTGATGAAATGCAAGAATGAGATGAAAAATGCCAGATGGAGTTCAATCTGGATAAATGTGAAGTACAACAAACAGGCAAGAATTGTGCAATTAACACTACGGCCTTGGCTAGTGTATAACGGAGACCTAGGGGTTCAGGTACATAATTTTTTGGAGATTTTGTCAAATGTGGACAGGGTGGTTAAAGAGGTGTTTAGCACACTTGCCTTCATTGCTCTGTCCTTTTGAGTATGGGAGTTGGAAAGACATGTTGAGGTTGTACATGACATTTGTGAGGCCCCTTCTGGAATACTGTGTCCAGTTCTGGTTGCCCAGTTAAAGACAGGATATTATTAAGCTTGAGGGAGATTTATCAGGATGTTGCCAGGTATGGAAGGTTTGATTTATAAAGATAGGCTGGAACTTTTTTCACTGGAGCGTAAGAGGTTGAGAGGTGATCTTAGAGGTTTGTAAAATCATGAGGGGTATAGATAGGGTTAATAGTAGGTAGGTAGGTGTCTTTCCTTAGGATGGGACGTTTCAAGGCTAGGGGACGTATATTTAAAGTGAGAGAAGAGATTAAAAAAGACAAAGACAAATTTTTTACACCAAGGGTGGTTCTCGTGGAATGAACTTCCTGAGGAAGTGGTGGATGTGGGTACAGTTATGTTTAAAAGACATTTGGATAAGTGCATGAATCAGAAGGGGTTGGAGGGATATGGGCCAGGAACAGGCAGATGAGACTAGGTTAATTTGGGATTATGTTTGGCATGGACTGATTGGACCGAAGGGTCTGTTTAAGTGCTGTATGGGTCTGTTTCGGTGCTGTGTGGCTCTGTGACTCTCAAGGTAATTCCCTGCTTTAATCATGCCATTGCAAATTTTAATTAGGTACACCAATTCCTAATCTGAAATATGTACCTAATTTTATTGTCCTAATGAAGTTTGCTGTTTATGTGACCTGCTCCATGGGAGATAGTGCTTAAAACAATATGAAAATGAGGTAGTGAGCACAATAACAAGAATTTGATATTTCACTGTCTATAATGGCTGAAGTTTAAAAATTAAGACCAAAATGCAACTCTATTAAATGTTGATTTAATTGCTGTGTTTATACAACAGGTTTTATTAACTCAGACTTCTGTTATTCACTGATTAATTTTAACTCCTTTAACTGTTCAAGATTTAAATTTCTTGGAAGACTGTGTTCCAGTAGTATGGGCAGGGTGGGTGATAAAAGAAGTGATCTTGTTTTGATTTAACAAGCTATCACTGGGGTATACTCAGCAGGGATTTACCTTTCTGCATGTATCATTGCACAGCACTGTTCTTTAAATGATTTCCACCAAACTTAAAATGTTGTGTAAAAACCACAAAATTGGTCATTTTTTTTCTCTTCAAAAGCATAATATATTCAATACAAGAACAGTACAAGAGCCCATTCACTTAACGAGCTCATTTTCAAATAGTGCAAAAAAACAATGAAATACATCAATAACATTGGTTGGACATTTAAAAATCTGAAACGTCTCGCAAAAGACATGCTCGAATTTCAAACTGTATGTGCAAATTGGTTCACGCTTCAAGCAATAATTTATTGATGCTCAGTACAGGCCTTATTTTCAAAGACAACTTCATTATCTTCATAGATCAATGCATGGACTATGAGGAATGGTCCATAAGTAGTCTGCAAACATGGTTCCACAAGGCACAGAAAATTGGATATCTTGCTGCCCCAATGATTAGCAATTTAATCTTTAAAAATAAGGCATATATATTAATACTGTTGAGACTAAATCTGTGTTGCTCCATGTCCTATTTCAGAGCCGCAGGTAAGTAATCTGCTTTTTAGTTGCTGTAATTATGTGGCACACAGCTGCTTCAACAGCTGGCCTGTCCTGAAAAAGCAACGACACAGCACCACCACTGTCCTGAGAGGTAATGGAATTCTGCATTGCTAATGAATTCAAGCTGCATGTTATCCAGCATTCTTGTCAGATCGTTTCCAAACGTAAACAGCATGTAAATAACTGGTGCTCAGTGAACACAAGGGGTTTTATTTTTTGCTAACACTGTTTGATATTGTATGCTCCCACAGGCTGTTTGTGCCCCCATCATTTTATTTAAACATTCAAAGAAGAATGCAGCAGACACTTGATCAAGGCCTCCAACCCCCCACAACTAAAGGCCAAAATAATGGTGATTGGAAATAGTTTGAGCCCTTTTGTGGTATTAGACTATAGGGTCATTTCTTGCTACTCAAGTCACCCTGCCTCCACAAATCATCGCAATTCTACTTGGTGGAACAAGCATCATCTTTTAAATTCGTTTGCAGAAGGATTTTTATTCCTTCCCTGTTTAGCTGAAAGTACGACACCAACATTGCTGACTTCCCAGCTCAGGTTGAGCTATTGATCTGAGTTGGGTCTTGCGCTTGGTTTCAGCATCTCTGGGCTAAAAAGAGAAGTAACCAGGACTTCCCATCTTGATGTTAACCTTTGTTTCATGCAGGACAACTTCTAGAATTGGGCCTGACTGGGACTGGGCTTTGTTATATTGTACTGTGCATTTGAAGAACCTACAATCTGTCCAGGCCCTTTCACTCAAAAAAATAGCCATGTGACTGATAGTCTTTGGCAGCAAAAGTGAGCTGAAGGACAAAATAAAGTAATCTGACCTTTCAATCAGTAGATATAGATTTGTACAAATGTCAGAAACTGCTATAGTTGGTTTCCTCTAGGTTTTCTCAGTACAGTATAGGGACCATGAGGTCCCTATCAACAATATGGTGGGTGGGAGGGGAAATTGCAGTTAGTGGACTTCTTCCATCATTCACAGTTAACAGTGAGTGGTGTCAATGATACAGCCACATGCAAACTGAGCCAGAGCAAAACTTTGTGGGTAATAACCTGGTTTGGTAGACTTTCCACCCAATATTGGAATCAACGCATCATGGTGAACCTGTTTGATCTCAAAGAAGACTTCTTGTATTCTTCCCATTTACATGTCGATTCCTCTTCTCTTCTATGAGCCAAAGTTTCTGATGTTCTCACTGATAAATGTTTCTTGGCACATTAGTTAATTCATTTGCGCAATTATACTGTCAGTAACAATTGCACTTTATGGCACTTGCCTTTAAAACATATTATCCCCCACCTGAAAGTCAACTTGTAACAATAATTGAGGACTAGATTTTGTTTAATTGACAGTGTGGGCAAACACCTCTACAAAATGTACACCTCACATACAGAATAACATCCACTTTAAGCCTTCCAGATCTACTTCTCCTAACTTATTCCTGTAACTAAAGATCAGTATTGCACCAATAGACTGTCTTGACATGGATGCTAACTAATCATTGATTCAGTCCTTGAATGGCGTTTTGTTGAAACTGTGATTAATTAAATGTGACAATTAATGACTATATAATCTGCACTATAACTCTATGGTTGGCAAATGTGCAAGAGGCTTGAAACATGCTGGTTATGTTAAGTCTGAATAAATCAAAAGCCATTTTCTCAGGAGTGAAAATAGGTGGCTAATGCACCTGTTGTTCTCTGGCCATGGTTTGGAATATGGTTTTCTTTTACTGATGTGAAAATTTGCTGGAAACAGGAAAACACAGACTCTCCCACAATAAAAGGAATTGTGCCAAAGATGTCTCATGTCTAAGAAGTGCATTATCATTTTGATGCAAGTCTGCGGTACGCAGAATTCAGCAGGATGGTGGGAGCAGCTGTAAAGTACACTGAAATGTTGGGTGACAGTGACTATGCTAGAAGCCATTCCAAAAATTTGATTTAGGAGTTAACACACCAGCACAACAAGGTTGCAATATAGGGATGAGTCTTGTCTCCGGAGAGTTCAAAATGGTAGCCAATGTATTATGACAAGGAGTGTTAAAACATCGTTCCACATAGAATTAACTTAATTAGAATTTGAGTGTTGGTCTGTATTTTGAACACAATCCTCCAACCTACCAAGTGAAATGTGATAGTTCTCTCAAACTAGTTCATATCCTCTGTGAGTGAGCCATTCTATGTCATGCCTGCTGCACAATCATCATCAGACATAGATGAACTGGTGTTCGCTTGAAACCCTAATACTGTAAAGGATTCAGAGTTATGCATTTCATTTCAGATTATCTGCCTTGTGACTTACCTGTGGGATATTTATTGTGCTTGGCAGTTGGCAATTTATACTATAAATACAGACCTCCTTGCCCTTCAGATCTGCAGCCCTTGCTTCGTAGAAGCCCTACAGGCCATTCGGCCCATCGCGTCCATGCTGACCTTGTAAACAGCATCCCACCCTATCCATGTAAACCCTGCATTTCCCATGGCTAATCCAACTAGCCTGCCAATCCCTGGACACTATGGGGCAATTTAGCATGGCCAATCTACCTCACCTGCACGTCTTTGGACTGTGGGAGGAAATGGGAGTACCCAGAGGAAACCCATGGAGACACGGGGAGAATGTGCAAACTCCACACAGACCGTCAATCGGAGGAGGAATCAAACCCGGGTCCCTGGTGCTGTGAGGCAGCAGTGCTAACCACTGAGCCACCGTGCCTCCCCAAGATTAACTAAGTAGAACAGAAGACAGAAATGAGAAAATCATTACACTGGGCATTTATCTCCTGAGTTTTCTACCTCATTATAATATCCTGCATGCATGTTGTCACCTTTGACCTGGCTAGGTCAGTGGCTGTGAAAGGAGATGGGAGAACGTTACAAACATTGCCTTAATTTTAAAAGATTAATATTTACTTTTGGTTTGCAGTACATGCAATCAGGAGTTTGTGCTCAGCAGTGAGGAATATTAAGCTGATTTTTTTTTTGTTTTGTTTCGCTTCAAAATCCCTATCACTTTTATTTCAAATTTCTACACGGCTTGAAGACACAATCTATTTATTTATTTATTGTCGACTGGATAAACTGGAATTGCTCTGGTGAGATGTAAATTGCAGTGATATTCCTGCAGCTTTTAGGGGCCAGAAATCCAGCACAATTGTTCTTAGCGTGAACAAATGAGACAAGAAAACAAAGAGTGGCAATTTTAGATATTTTTAATCAATCTGTTCAGATGTGTTATGACCTGCCTCTGCAGCAGGTAGGACTTGAACCCAGTCCTTTGTGGCACAGTGGTAGCATCACTACCTCCAAGCCAAGAGCCCCATAGCAGGACAGGTTTTATGATGCTGAATTCGTGCATCATTTCACAAAGGCTTTCTCATGACTGACTGACTGAGATAGTCCTTCGTTTCAATTCTTAGCCCAGTCAACCTGTCTCCTAATCACTTCCTTCCTCTCTCAATTCCTGCCTCTACAGATTGGGCTCAATCTCAACTTCTCATCAGTTTCTCTCAAGGCCAAGTGACATCAGCTTCTCACTCTCAAACACTTTCAGATAACATTGCACACAAATCAAATTTGGTGAATTTATGTGAGAGTTTGTGCCTCTAGGAGGCAGACTTACACAACATACCTAGTGCAGAATACACTTAAAGTTCCAGTACAATTTGCCAGACTTAAGTACTTTTCAGATTAATTTCTAATCTTTTATGGCCAACAGAGAACTAACTGCCACGTCAACTTGGCATTCAAGTGGCAGTAATGATAAATTCGTAATTTCCGCACATCCATTGAAGGGTTTTGACATTATGGAACAGGTAATATAATTCAGGTTTACTATTGGTCCAGTCTGTCTTAAACTGGTACTTTTTAAAAGTAACAAGTTGCTCGATTTAGATATAAACTTGATACTGTGGGCCCTAAAAACCGTGAAGGACTGACCGACTTGGCCTTGTATTCAGCCCTGTCCAGTCTGATTGTTTGTGCAAATATCATTTGAGACGTTATTTCGAGTCCACCCAAAATATGAGAGCACACAAACGCAACTCCTGCCAGGCCTGTTGGACCAAGGGAGTAGGCCTCCCCAATCAGATTACACCACTCTTTCTCAGGAAAGGGTGGCACACTCTCAATCCAGAAGACAAAGCGATCACCAAAGATGCTGTTGAGGAAGTGAATATGTAAACAATCTGTGGGAGCTACAAGCCTTTCCAACATAAAGAAAAACAAGGTAGTACAAAATGGAATTATCTATTAATACTCACAATGCATTAATCCATAACATTAAAAATAAATTCATACGTTCCTTATAAAATGTCAATGAAGTGTGTAAACAGTGTCTTCATGGTCTTGCATGTTGCAGTGTTAAGAAGAGAAATGCAACATTTTGCTATTTGGGTTTGGTTTTCTTGGCTTCCAGTGTCAAGTCTCCTAGCGTGGCAAAGAAATCCTCCATCTCCTTCTGCAGAAGCAGGTTTCTCTTCTCTGCATCTTCGCGTGCCCGCTCTGCATTTCGCATCTTTATTTCAAGCATGGTGTATTTCTTCTTCCCTTGGTCCAACTCCTCTTCCAGTCTGTTTACTTGTAATCGCAGCTCTGTGCTAGACCCTTCAAGCCTGAGAAAAGGGATACAATTAACTTTTGCTGCTTTTCACATCAGATTTTTGATTCCTGAAATCTAATGTGATGCAACTTCCAAATTAACAAAGTTACCAGACTGAATGGAGTTTGCAGGAAATCCTGATTGGAGAAAAGGACCCGCGTTTTGACATTTGGAGCTAATTTTGCATTCAACAATCTTTAAACCACTGAGACGAGGCAGATGGCGGGGAAGCTGCATCATATTTAAGTAGGATGAAATCTTTGAAAGCTCCTAATCCCATATGTTCCTCATCTTAAATTTGCAATTTACCCTGTTCCTGAAGTCATGTTCCAGTTGATGGATGACTTGAGAACTAGCCTGCACCCATTTAGAGTGGCTACAAAAAAAACAAAGGTAACTTAATGAAAAACTTGTTTCACCCATCAGTGGTTAAGATCTGAAATGCTTGCTTTACAGGATGTTGCGGGCAGATTCAACTGTAGTACTCGTAGGGGAATCGGACAACTTTCTGTCTGGAGAATGTCTCTGGGTTATGGTGAAAAGGCAGGGTGGGGTTATGGTCAGAACTAGCTGAGTTACTGTTGCAGAGAGCCAGCACGCATAAAAGGGCCAAATGGCCATCACCTGCATTACAAACAAGCAGTTCCTCATCTCTCTTTTTTTCAGGCCTCTTACTTAAATTTTACCTAGACCATTTTGACATTTTCACAGTTCCTTCCTAAACTGGGCTCCCACGTAGGTGCTAACCCCGTCCCTTCACAAGTCACTTCTATTGAAGTTAATACATTTAGCAAGGAAAATGTTCAAAAGGTATCTTTTGGAGGTGCAGAGAAACAAATGCAGAGCCAGCAGAGACATTTGGAAGACTGTCTAAGGCATTGGGCAAGTTAGTTAATTTTGAAGACGACAGGTAGCATTTGGTAAAGAATTCTAAAGTGTTTGAGACCCAGATGACTGAAGAAATGCCCTGCGACTGTTAGAAAAGTAAGGGAGGATGCTCAAATTGTCGAATCACTAGGAATTGCGTTTATGCATGGTGATCAGCAGCAGCTTTAGATGAACCAAAGTTTCCACAGGGGTAGCGATTAGGAGACTAACCAGTCCAGCAACATCGACCTGAATTTATCTAGTGCCTTTCATGGAGTAAAATGTGACAAGACACCGTTACTGTCCAGGAGATGAAGATTTAAGAATAGCTGACTAATTTAGAGGTGGCAATAATTTGATCACGTCAATGAAGATTTTGTCTTAACGGTAGCAAAGAACTTTACAAAACTGTAGGCACTGTGAATTGCTTTAATTTTTAACAAAAATCTCTGTAATCTCATGCAAAGACTAAGAGGTGTGTGTTATGTACAATTCTTAATAGATTGCACAGTTTCCCTTACAAACTGAGAAATTGCCAAGGTGGTTACGATAATCTTTCCTCACTGACCTATTTCTTCCTTTTTAAATTATTTTGAACTTAATTAGTACTTCATAAATTTTGGCTTCTCAGCCAAATCTCTCCCTTCCTCAATTTTAACTTTTTTAAAAAAGAATTGCTTCAAGATTTTGAAATTTAAACTTGTCAACACGACTTCATTTCCTGATTTCCCATTTTTTTTTTTTTGCACTGTTCTTTTCATTTTTAGTTCTGTATGTGTAAATTGGTCTTCTTAAACCGGTTTGTCAATAAAACTGAATACTTAGAAGTTTCTGTATTTTCCAGGCTAAATTTTGGGGAATTAGGCTTAAATTTCATTCGTGTGTATCAATAAGCACAGCTTGAAATGAGCTCTTGGTGCACGGGGGGGGGGGGGGGGGGGGGGGGCCACCTCAGTCTCAGAGTACGGGATTGAAGACAGATGAAGATTCTGCCCCCCCAGGGCAGTGAATCTGTGGCATTCATTACTTCTAGTGGTTGTTGAGGCTGAGTTGGTAAGTACATTTTAAAGATTAGATAGATATTTAATTAGGGAATCAAAAAGGTTATAGGGATAAGGCAGGAAAATGAAGTTGACGATGATTAAATCAGTCCATCATTGAATGATGGAGTGACTCTATGGTCTACTTCTGCTCCTATATCTTATTCTTAAGGCTTATGGTCTCATAACCTTAATCCCTAACAAGTGTACCACCCAAAACAGGAACAAAGTTATTACATTTTGATTAAGGAAACCATACGTACGTGACAGGAACATAGAAAAATATGTATGGCATAGGAGGAAGTCATATTTTCTCATTTTGTCTGTCAAAACTTTTGGCAGGAATAATTGGGGAAAAGAAAGCAGAGTATTGTTTAAATACAGGATAACTACAGAACGCTGAGGAATCTGGGTCTTCAAGTGCATGAGTCGCAGAAGTGTGTGCACGTATAGCAAGTGATTAAAAAGGAAAATGGAATGCTAACATTTATGGTGAGGAATTGAACATAAAAGGTAAAGAGTGAGATGTTGCTGGGGAAACTCCAGCAATTTCTGCTTCTGTTTTGGATTTCCAGCATCCACATTTCTTTTCAGGTTTTTTTTTCCCTATATAAAGGAAAGGTTATGTTTCAGTTGCACAGAGCTTTGATGACATCACTTTCAAATATCTTGTGCAGTTTTGGTCTCCTTAATTCAGAAAGGATGTAAATGCAGTAGGGTTTATCTGAGAAGGTTCACTCAATTTGAGACCTGGAATGAGCAGGTCCTCTTGAGGAAAGATTAAAAAGGCTGGGTTTGTTTTCACTGGGATTTTAGAGAGGGAGGGCGATTTTGATTTAAGTTGAAAAGATCCTTAATGGTCTTGACAAGGTGGATGTGGAAAGGACGTTTCTTGTGGGTGATTAAGTCTGGAAACAGTGCATAGTTTTAAATTTGGGACAAATTTAAGGCAGAGACTGTCTGCTTCAGAAGACAGTGGAAGTGGGGTCACTGAATATTTTTAAGGCAAATTCTTGTTAGGCAGGGGAACCTAAGGTTATCAGGGGGGATGTGGAATTCAGAACACAAATGATCTTCTTGAATCTCAGAGCAGATCTGATAAGCTGAATAGCCTACTTCCATTCCTAATCTGTAAGTCAAGTAATAAGAAACAGATCTATGCACTTCTAGAGCTAAAACAAACTAGTGCATAAATTAAGGATAGTCCTGAAGCAAACCAGGTACTACAGCCACATCACCTTCCTTAGCACCTGCCTACGGAACCAGATCATCCCCCAATGGACTACAATCCACATTCAGGCCTTCCCAATTTGGCCCCAACCGTGACAATATCTACACTCATGGTATTGAGATCCTTCAGAAGCGTTTCTCCCTGCGACTCCTGAAACACACACTTGCAGCAATGCGCCGGCATCGCCAGGCACTACAATCAAGCCTACCCCAGCTCAGAGGCTCCCTCTCCCAGACTTGCAAAGGACCTCTCCTGTTTTTTATTCTTCGTAGGATCCACAACCTGAACTCTCAATTCTACTCAGCTTTATTGGACACTAAAAACCGTAAGTACAGTAAACTTACTGGTGCCTACCACCCAAAACGGGCTTCCTCCACCCCCCCAAATCCCCAGCCGTACCCAGGACCTTCCCCACAATGGGCCCGCCGCCATTGGCCATGAGGCCACTATCGGAGAACCCTCAGATGACGTCACATCCGCCACCGCCGGGTTCCCCACTTCCGGGACAGCAAACACCATCGCTGCCGTTGCCACCGACACTGAAGTCGCGACCACCCTCACCGCTAGTGCCGCCACCTACCCTGCTCCTTCTACCTCCGACGCCGCTCCGCCCATCACTGATGCGGACGCAACTCCGCCCACAGCCAGCAGCTCCAGAGCAGACAGCAGCACCCAACCCTGCCGAGTATTCACCATCCTCCCAGACCTACCCCTTACTGAGGACGAACGGTCAGTCCTCAGTAAAGGGCTCACCTTTGTCCCCCTCCACCCACAGATCAACGAATACCGCTCACGCTTGGACATAGAGCAGTTTTTCCGCCGCCTCCGCCTCCACGCTTACTTCTTCAACCGTGAACCTAACCCTCCCTCTACTGGCCCCTTCTCCTGCTTCCAAGGAAGGGTCTAGGCCCGAAACGTCAGCCTCTCTGCTCCTATGATGCTGCTTGGCCTGCTGTGTTCATCCAGCCCTGCACCTTGTTGTCTCAGTGCATAAATTAAGATGGACAGTCAAAGGTGACACTGAGGAAAGCAAAAAATGCAGAGAAAGACAGAATTGCAGAAAGGTTAATGAAGCGGTTGATGTCTTGGCATCACTAAATGAGGGTGCACACAAATGGATTTTCCACAAAAAAATCTGTTCCAGTGATCGTTGCTTGTGCTGGTTTACCTCAGTAAGGTACGAATGCAGTCAGTCATTATTATGAGGATCCCAAGACAAAGAAACAAAAATATATGACCCGTTGGCATACACACGGGGTTCAAGCAAGTTAGGAGAGAAATAGCAAAGATGGTGACAGATTTTGATTAAAGTAGGCTGCCTTTAGTCTTCATTAATGTTGGAAATAAAAAATGTTAAGCCTCAATTGGCAGACCCGAGGCAATTTGGTCTCTGACTCTGATAACAGTTAGGACAGAGACAAACATTGTTTGTAGGAGGTGGGAGATGATGGCTGATTGGCTACACCCTGATAAGTGAAATAGCAACTTCACTTACTGGGAAAGTGACCTTAGACTGTGTAGAACTAGCAGATACATGTTCAGGCAGAGACAATCTTTGCTTTGTTTTGTCAATTCTAGACGTTAAACATAGTTGAACAGGGAACATCCATCCTGCCAAAGCCAAGCACTTTTAAAACATTTTGATCAGAATTCTGAGGGCATCATGTCCCAGATAAGCCAGTCTGCTCTTCAAATGACATCCACCTGTTTTGTTTTGAACAAGTGTTATTTGATAACAAATATGTAAGCGGACTCTTGCTGTCTTTCCACTCCCTAACTCTGGTGTCAAGGCTAAGCACCTGCACTGCATCTCCAACCAAGATTAGCTCATTAGGCTCAGTCTGAGGATTGAGCAATCCTTTTCTACGTCACCTATTCCTGGCAATGATAATTATTCCTCAATGATTTGAGTTTAAGAAGTACATGCAGAGAAGGTGGGCAAAGAATAGGCTGACAGCATAGAAGGTAGTAAAGTGTGAGGTTATCCACTTTGGTAGGAAGAACAGGAAAGCAGAAAGTTATTTAAATGAAGAGGGACTGCAGAATAACGCAGTCTAGAAGTTCTCCTGCATGAATCAAAATGGTTAGCGGGTACCCTGAAGACAAATGGAATGCTGGCCTTCATTGCAAGGGAGCAGGAGCAGGTAAAACAGTACAGGACATTGGTAGAGCAACAGTCAGTAATGCGTAAGGAATGTGCTTGCATTGTAGGATGTTCCAGTTGGATTTTTAATTTCCAAGATGACAAGATTCACGCAATTGGCCATGAATTGTTGGCATTTAGTAGAATGAAAGATGATCTTGATGAACAGGGCTAATGAGGTGAATGCTCGGAATGCTCCACCATGATGAGGAGGTAGTCTAGAACTGGGCTGGAGAGGGGGTGGGGGAAGCGCAATGTTTCCCAATAAGGTGGAGGTTAGGGATGTATTCTCTGAGAATTGTTGGTCGTCAGAATGGTGTATCACAAACCAGTGGAGGCTGGATCACTGAGTATATGCAAGGACGATTCTGAGTCAGACTGATTTTTTTTTTTTTTTTTTTTTTTTTTTTTGAGGGGAGTCGAGGGCCATAGGCTCCAGGCAGGACAGTGTAGATCGAGGCCGTGATCAGATCAGACACTATCATAATCGAATGGTACAGCAAACTCAAGGGGCTCCTGTCATACATCAAAGAGCCCTTAATGTGAAGACGTGTCCCCTGGTTTTAGATTCCTGCCTTTTCTTGGGGGTAGGGGGAGGTGTGTGGAGGGGATATCAGTCAGCATCTACCCTGTCAGAAGTTCTTAGAATGTACGTTTCAATAATGTCACCTTGCATTAAGCCATAAAACACGAGCAGAATCAGGCTACTCGGCCCATTGGGACTGCTCCACCATTCAGTCATGGCTGATACATTTCTCAACCCCCATTCTCCTGTCTTCTACCCATTACTCTTGGTCCCCATTCTTCTAAAATCCAATGAGTGTAGACCCAAACTGCTTAATCTTTCCTCACAAGACAAGCCCTTTATGCCAGGAATCTATCTAATAATGGATATCTGACATTTCAGATGTAGTCTGAGCTGACACTTCATTGTCCAAAGTATGACTTTCTGGATGAATCAGGTACAGTAGCATCAATACACTTTTTTTCATGAGTATAAGAACATTCTGAATGGAAGCAATGATCGACAGTCACAGTATTCTGCAGAGTTTGGGTGTTCCCACCTCACAGGTGGTTCTGACATTGCCTCAGAGACATTGTGACACAGAATGTTGAACACAACCTTACAAATACCTAATCTCTAAAACCAGGAAAACGCCCCATCAAATAATTTCCACATCCAGTATGCAATTAGATAGTTTACAAATCTCTTGTTGCTTTTATGGTAACATAAATGCCAAAATCTCCTACAGTGCCAAACCAAAAAAATCTTCATTATTGCATGCTTTACTGGAAATGGCCAGGAAACTGATATACTGCAGACAGCTCAAGTCCATAAAAACTTTCTTCTTTAAAAGAAAGCCATGCCCTTCCTGGAAACATGCTTATTTGAAGATCCTGATATTTATTTAGATTGCTCAGAGCACTTTAGATGATTAGTCAGTCAGTCACTCAGCTGCTTTGTTTATCATCATTAATTAGGCTGAAACCTTTCGTTCTCCGTGTCCTGGTGGCAGAATGGAAATGCCTGATAACACCTGTTGAAGATGTTGCCTATGTTTTGTCTGTCTGGATTCATAAAGCTCCCCTTGAAGCAAATATAGTTGTCTTGAGGAAACCTAGCTAAATCCCACTTAAACATCTCCAGCCAAATTGGAAATTTTTTTTCAAATTACATATTATTGAAGATCAAAGGGAGCAAATTGAGGTATGGACTAGAGTCTGGACAATCGAGATTTAGGCAAGTTTACAAAAAGGTGGAATGAGAGAAGTTTGAACAGAAATGGAGATAGTAAGAACTGCTGATGCTGGAGTCAGAGATAACACAGTGTGGAGCTGGAGGGACACAGCAGGCCAGGCAGCATTGGAGGAGCAGGAAAGCTGACGTTGAAGGTTCTCGACCAGAAACGCCAGCTTTCCTGCTCTTCTGATGCTACCTGGCCTGCTGTGTATACATCCAGCTGTACAATTTGTTATCTTGAACAGAACTGGAATTTTTTTTTCCTTTATTCATTCACAGAATGAGGGCATCACTGGCTACAGTAGCAATTGCCAAGAGAGCAGTTAAGAGTCAAATACATTGCTGTGGGTCTGGAGTCACATGTAGGCCAGACCAGGTAAGGATGGCAGTTTCCTTCCCTGAAGGACATTAGGTGAATCAGATGAGTTTTTCCTGATAATGGACAATGGATTCATGGTCAACACTAGGTTCTTAATTCCAGGTACTTATTGAATTCAAATTACACCATCTGCTGTGGTGGGATTCGAACCTGGGGTCCCCAGAACGTTCTCTGGGTCACTGGATTAGCAGGCCTAGTGGTATTATGGCTGGACATCGCCTCCCCTCTGAACTGGAGGAAAAGGCAGAAATGAGCCATTCAGGTTTTGATGCAATTGCCACAATTAGCATTTGAGATAACCACATCCAGCATAATCTGCTCACAAAGAGCAGGATTCTTATGAGGTGAAGGCTGTATCAATTTAAAATGAACAACAATATTAAGATTTCCAAATTTCAATTTAAATTATCAAGAAACATTTTAAAATATACTACACTGTGAGGTTTGAGTATCGTCTATGATTCCTAATGAGGGATTGAGATGTTGCAGATTTAGCACACACTTATAGAAAACAGTAAGTATTTGACCTTCTCACTGAGACATTGCAGCAACCCTGTACCCACTGCAAATGCAGTTAGGTAACAGCTGATATTTTTTAAAAACCTGCCTGATGATATCTATATTAATCCCAGTAATCATTGGGGAAACTGGTTGGGACCCATCAGGCTTAACAGAAGAATCCATACACTGTGGAAGCAGGCCATTCGGCCCACTGAGTCCACACCAACTCTCTGAAGAGCATCCCATTCAGACCCACCCTCTATTCCTGCATTTCCTGTGGCTAATCAACTTAACCTACACATCCCTGGACACTACAGGGCAATTTAGCATGGCCAATCCACCCAACCCACGCAGCTTTGGACTGTGGGAGGAAACCAGAGCATCCGGAGGAAACCCACACAGACACGGGGAGAATGTACAAACTGCACACAGACAGGCGCCCGAGGGTGGAATTGAACCCGGGTACATTGCTGTGAGGCAGCAATGCTAACCACTGTGCCACCCCAATGCATTACATAGCCTGATTCCAATTGGGGATGAAAAATACATGCTGGAATTCCAGCATATGGAAAAGCTATGTGCATATGTACAATAAGTGTTTTCAAATGTGCAGTTCCAGGATGCAGGCATATTTTATATCCAGCTCCTTGCTTGGATTTTGTACATCCTAATTAAACAGCAAGTGCAAAACCACATTTTTTTAACCAACTGCCCTCCATGCGTTCTACTTATGCCTAATTCTAATGCTGAACTCTAACCTGGTTTCTTGCAAAGCAGTTATGCATGTAACTCGAGGGTTATGTGTCTTGTTATCACCTTTTAATCCTGGTTTCGTACTCTGCCCTTTGTTTGGTCAGTTCTGACTTGAGCTCTGTGATCAGACTTTGAAGTGCTTTCGAACACGTGACAGAGTCATTTGATGCAGTAACCAAGTCACTGTTCTCGCTGCAGCTCATGCTGCTGATGCACACATCAAACTGCTCGATCCTATTGTCAGTCTCCACCTTCTGCATTTCGTCCCTTGGCTGGGTCACCTGCACAGGCCAGTCTGCCTTCGTGCAGTTGAGCACCGAAGAATCACTCTCACGGCAAACTGCGGAGCTACTGGAATCAACTACTGAAATCTCACAGGATGACGTTGACCATGCGGTACTAGCAATGCTCTGCCTGTCCCCGACACTCAAGGAAAGGCTTGAGGATGGGACATTGTCGTATGTCGACAGGCGGGATGACACTGTTTCTTTGACTCTGTCCCCGGAGGAAGTCCTTCTGTGTCCTCGGAGTGACGATAATCCATTCATGAGCCAATTCCCGCTGGCTGTTAAGTGAGGAATATCTAAAGTCGAACCACTTAGTTTAGTATTGCTGGACCGTCCCCCAGTCTGTTTAAATGAATATTTCCACCCAGGGAGGGTCTGAAGTCTTCTGCTTGGGCTGGTGCTTGTAGGAACCTGTTTGTCGGTTTGTTCCTGAGTTGCGTTTTTGGACACAGTCACAGGAGTGCTGATGTTCACGTCCAGTGAGGTTGCGCTGTTGCAGAAGCTGCCCACTTGGTTATTGTCAGTCCTTGTCTCTCCACACTCCTCTTCGGACACCCACTCCACCAGACAGCGTTTACCCACCGACGTCACTTCAAGCTGAGGGGTCAGTGGGTCACTGCGGCTAACGGGGAAAAGTCTGTCATGTTCGCTGATCAACACAGTCATTAGATGCTGCACCAGAGACGTACCTGTTTGTGGAGGGAAGAAAAATAGATGACTTGCATCGTCTCTACTCAATAGAAATGTCAGCTCAGTTCTTGAGCAAGCACCCTTTGCTCTAAAAGCTAAGTAAAGCATTTGAGAAATTATTCTGAAGTGATAAAAGGGTTAATAATTCTGCACTTTGAATGGGAGTCCACTTTACAGCACACAAGGGGTGGCGAATTGTAACAATACCATTCTTCAAGCATATCTTCCCCCTTGAGAGTAAAGAATATGTATCAGTACTTGATGGTACCCATTAACACCATCTCTACTATCCTATCCAAATGGATCTGCTAAACTTTATTTACCAGGATAAATCTTGAAATTGAACTATACCGTTCCTGCTTTCCTATCTTTTGTTCACAAAGTTAATGCGTGCTGGGAGTGCAATGAGAGTAGTACTCCACAGTACCAAACCCAGCTCACCATTCTATGCCAGCTGATGCAATGAATGCCAATGTGATCACTGTTGCCCCTTTCATGAGATATGTACAAATGCAGATTTTTTTTTGAGTTTGTCTTCCTTCCCGCCCTTAAGGGCACAGAAATCAGTCTCCCACCCAACGAAGCACTGACTGACAGTTACAAAATCAGCATCCCGGATGAGCTGTACCCCAGGCTAATGGGGGAAGGGAGGAGTTATCAGGAACCTGGGCAATAATTTTCAAATCCTGTCTGGCCATAGATGAGGTGCTAGAGGACTGTCAACAATTCCCCATTATTGAAATAGGGAAGAAGAGAGTGATCAGGAAATCACAGGCCGGTCAGTCTAACCTTGGTGATGGGGAAGTTGATAGATAAATTATGTCCCTCAGAATTCTATCTGCACTTCAAGAGACACACATGAATCACTGATAGGCATGTTTGACATCAAATTTTTTGAGGTAACTGGGAGTGTTGATGAGGGTAATGCATTTGATGTAGTTTGCAAGGACTTTAGAAAGGCTTTTGAGAAGAAACCTCATTGCCTTCAATCCCGTTGGTCTGCCAAGTGGCACATTGGATCCAAAGTTGGTTAACAGGCAGGGATTGGTGCTAGAGCCTTTGTTGTACTTGGTGTAAATTAATGATTTGGATTTAAAATATAGGATCAATGACCAAGAAGATTGTGGATAACATGAAGATTATTTGAGTGGTAAGTAGAAAGGCGAATGAAGACTAAACTGCATCAATGGACTGGTTAGGTGGGCAGAGCTGTGGCAAGTGGAATTTAACTCCGAATTTTGACAGAACGTATGAGGGGAGGGCCATCAAGGCAAGGGATTACATGGTGACTGGCGAAACCCTAGATCAGAGGGACCTTGGTGTGCATTTTTACAGATAGCTGAAGATTGCAGGGCGGCTAGAAAAGCTGGTTCAGAAGGAAAATGGAATACTTGCCTTTATTAGCTGAAGCACAGAATACGAAAGCAAATAAATTATGCTGGAACTGTATATAACACTAGTTAGGCCACAACTGGAGTACTACACGGCATGTAGTTCTGGTCACCACTTTGCGCTAGAGACGGTGCAGAGGAGATTTACGAGGATACTGCCAGGGTTGGAGGGTCTAAGATATGAGGAAAGAATGGATAGGCTGGTTATTTTTCTTAGAGCAGCAAAGGTTGGGAAGTGACTTGATCGTAGGGCAAAGATAGGATAGATGGGAAGGCACCTCTTCCATTAACGGAGCGGTCAATAACCAGGGGCCATAGATTTAAGGTTAGAGGTGGAAGGCTATCAGTGAGTTGAGAAATGTTTTCACGAAAGATGATGGGAGTCTGAAATTCACCGCCTGAAAAGGGTAATTGAGTCAAAAACTCTAGACACACTTAAGCTGTATTTAGATGTTGACTTATGTTGCCATAGCTTCAGGGCCTTAGGCTAAGAGCTGAAAAATGGGATTAGCGTAGTCCGATCTTTGCCTGGCCCAGGCATGATGGGCTAAATGGCTTCTTCTGTACTGTAAACGTTTCAGAAAGTGACATTGGGAGCAAGTTATTGGTTGACGTCACGCTGCAACATTAACACATGAAACATTTAGGGCCTAGAATTTCAGCATGATGATGGAATCTGAATGTAAAATATTGAGATTACTTTAAACACAATTGAGTTGCACTCATTAGCACTTGAGATCATATTTCCATGCGCTTTTGACACCCCAGTTAGAAACGCAAATTTCGACTAACTGGGCCTATTGTACCTCAAGGACAATTGAGTACTGTATAGACAGTTAAAAACCAAAAGAACTGTGGATGCTGTAAATCAGAAACAGCTGGAAAAGCTCAGCATCTGTGGAGAGAAGCCAGAGTGGATGTTTCAGGTCTGGTGACCCATCCTCAGAAATGAGTATGGACAGTAATTGTTGGCCTAATCAACAACACCCACATCCCATGAAAGAGTTAAAAAGGTCTGTCTCACATACTGATGAGATAATTGCTATAAAATATTTTCAATTTCAGACAATTGATCTGCACAAGTTGCAGTTAGCTGGAATTAATGACTGACTGACTTGTTCAGTGGCAGCAAGGACTGGAACAAATATTTAATTTTAAATTCAGTTATCCCCAGGCCTGATTGGCCATAACACAGTGAATAATTGATTATAAGTGGTGACATTGTGTGACTGTGCACTAATTCATGGGAGTTTTGACATTTGGACATTTGTTAATAGGCTTCAGCAAAAATGTTGGTAATATCACATTGTTCAGCATATTCTGGAGAAATTTTAATGATTGGGCAGCAGGAATTTGGGTACATTTAAAAGACAAATCAAATTTGGGACTTGGACCCTCTCAATCTGAATGAGAGGGTGATGCTGTTATGTTAAATTCACACAAAGACAGATTCGCAGACTGGTAATTCGCAAGGCCCAAGGGTTTTAATCCAAAATTGCTTCTCTTGATTGATGCACTTGTACCATTCGGGATCAGAACGTTTGGACTCATCACACAGCTGTTGGGTCTGGCAAAATTTTCAGTGAATACAAACTTACAAACTCCACAACATAGCTGACCACAGTGACAGAAATGGCAGCACCAACAAATGCTAGTAAGCTGTTGTGGCAGAGATGGGTTTTTGGGGAAGCAGACCAAAGCTGCCCAGGCCAGGACCAGCTGAAAGGGAAGAGGCACACAGACTCTGTTTTTAGGGGACAGGTTCTACAGCATAGAAATGAGAGGTTTTTTTTTAAAACCATGTGACCCAATGGTCATGCCCTATTGATTCCACTTCTCAAAGCTAAAAACAATTCAGCCTTAAATCAGTTGTGATTGAACAGTGGCAATATTGTAGCCATCACACTATGCTGCATAGCTACGTAAAATCTAGCAGTTACCTTCAAGAAAATTTATTGGTTTCCTGAAGATATTAATGTTGTTTGATGGTTAAGTTCAGTATGTGTGGCATTGAGCAGGAGGAATAGGAACAAGTCCATCTGGCCCGTGGAATATAGGTTCAGCAGTAGGCCATCCAGGCCACTAAGCATTCTCCACCATTCAATTAGATCAATATTGTTCTGTACCTTAACTACATTATTCTTTCATGGGATGTGAATGGCCTGTCAAGGTCAGCATTTAAAGCTTGTTCCTAATTGTCGTTGAAATGAATGGCTTGCTGGGTCACCTCAGAGGACCATCAACCAGATGACTGTAGCTGGCCAGTGACGTGTTGGCCAGACCAGGTAAAGACAATAGATTTCCTTCCCTAAAAGTACATTAGTGAACCAGTTGAATTTTTAAGACAATCTATGACTGTTTCATGGACACCACTAGCGTTCAACTCCAGATTTTTTATTAATTACATTTAAGTTCCACATGCTGTTGTGATGAGATTGGCATCCTTATTCCAAAACATGACCCAGGGCCTCTGGACTACTTCACCTTACCATTACACACTCAAACAACCTCACCCAACCCCTGTCGCCATATTCCCGGATACCGTCCCCAATCTGTTATCAGTTCTTCAAGTTCAAGTCAGTTACTTTGCATTTGTCTGTCACTATGACTTGCTTGGCTCTGGGTGTCCTCAACAAGTGGGTGAGTTGAATGATACACCACTGAAGTTCAGCAAAATAGAAGTATGTTTGAAGCTGCAGCAACCATTTTCAATAACAGATTGGCAGGAAGCCCTTAGCTATGATGCTGAATTTACACTGTCAATTGGATATTTAGAGGAGCATTGAGTGTCCTTTGCTGCATGTTTTTTTTAATTTGTTTCCCGCCCTTCATCTGCAAAACCAAGTCAATGCTTAAAGTTCAGAAAGAACAATGGTATGATCTATTCTTCATAGTCTCAGAGGACCATAGGGCTACTCTTTCAATAGAGAGATGACAGAGCTTTACTCTATCCAACAGCACCCTGTCCTTGGAGTGTTTGACAGGGATAGTGGCGAGGAGACTTTACTCTGCATCCAATTTGATGGTGTTGATGTCCTGGGAATGTTTGATGGGGACAGTGTGGACGAAGCTTTACTTTCAGTTTAAAAGAGGGAATTTAACATTCAGTCTAAAAGAGTAGAGCGAGATGATTGGCAGTGAGTTTAACGTAAGGATCATGACGTCTCGGGCGAGGAGAGAGTTTGAAAAGGTGGACTATGTTGTTAGTGTTACTCTGTTATTACAAACCAACCACTTCTAATTGGCAGGACAGATGAACCTGGCTAGCCTGCTAAGTACTAGCCAATGGAGACATTTCATGAAAAAAATGTTTACAATTAATGATCAATGACAGTAATTAAGTCAATTCACACACCTTCCATAATAGTTACAGGGTCTTCCAGTTTTGGACGCAAAATATTTGGCCCAAAGACAGTTGCGAGGTTTTGGACACTCATTTTGTTAACACTTGAATATGACTGAACTTCATCAAGGAACCTACAGATAATATGACAAATATTGAGTTATTCAAAATACATTACAAATCTATAAAGATGTACCTGTGCCTAATTGCAGCATGCACACGAGCTCACCCAGTGACAATTCCCCATATTGCTCACAATTAAAGGCTTTTCTTTTGGTTTGCTTGGACTATTCAGCTGTGAGTGGCAATAAAGCAATCTGCCGATTTGACAGTTTGGGACGTACTAACTGCATGTGCAGCTATTCCCCCGGAGGTAACGTATTTCCCTTGATCCAAATGCAAAAGATCACAGCATAGAAATACCCATTTCTTGCCAAACCGATGCCTGTAGATTTGGAGTGACTGGGTTATGGTCAGTGTGGTAAAGTAGGGCAAAAGAAATGGCAAGGACACAGTGAATAAAAACTGAAAAGAAACACTACACTTTTAAAACAAAACCCTAGAAATCACAGCACATATGGAGACAGATTGTTTTTCTATTCAACAACCTTCCATCACATATTCTGTACGTGCAAACTACTGTTAATATAACTACAAGAAATTCCCACTCTGACATTTCACATCACTCTCCATCTATAGGTATGATGAAGATGTGACACAATCTACCGGAAGTTAAACATCTCCACGCAAGTGGCAATCAAATAAGTCTGCAACTTCAAATATTTGATGTTCTGTCTTGCAACTCTGTTCCAAATAGGTCTTAAATGTGGCAAATTGTTTTGTCATGTGCCATCAACTCACCGCACACAAAAAAAACAGATTTCTAATTCCATTTCAATAATTGGAGAAGTGAAAATGTTTTTATATTGTATAGTGGTTCACAGAATGCTCACCAGCTCAACTGGCAGAGCATCAGACTGTTAATCTCAGAGTCATGGGTTTGGGCCCCACACTGGGCACTTTCATTCTGAAACTGTACCACTAGCTGTGTGAATTTGCTCAAACTGAATCTCAGCTCCTTCCCTAACCCACAATCTCGAAGCGAGAGCGTGGGGTTCAGCTGGATTGAAATTTTACATCTCCCTTGGTCTCCTCATGAGGGCCGTGATCAACTGCGTTTATAATACAGGGAGGAGAACCTGTCCATCACCTCTGACAGAGGCAGCAAAGGGCGTATGCACAGACTACCAGGCAGCTGGTGTTGGTGACATGGTCGTGCCAACTGTAAAGAAAAGGTAGCCAGAGCTCAGGAGAAAGATGTACCCAGCAGTAGTGTGATACAGCAAGACAGTATACCAGAGAAAAGAGAGGGTGTTTCTCTACTTTGAAGACAGTGATAGTTAATAACAAAGGAGATATGGGCATGGTGGCTCAGTGGTTAGCCCTCCCGCTTCACAATGCCAGGAACCCAGGTTCAATTCCACCCTTGGGCAACTGTCTGTGTGGAGTTTGCACATTCTCACCAAATCTGCGTGGGTTTCCTCCCACAGTCCAAAGATGTGCAGGTTAGGTGGATTGGTCATGGGGAATTGCCCATAGTGTCCAGGGATGTAGAGGGTTACAGAGATGGGGGACATCTGGGTGTGGACTCGATGGGCTGAATAGCCTGCTTCCATGCTGTAGGGATTCGAAATGAAGGGCTCTGTTTCCAAGGAATAAGTAGATCTGTAGCCCAGGATTGCTTTAAATGCTGGATGCATCACATAAGAATTGTAAACATTTCCTGCAACGAATAGCTGTACGATTCAATAAATATTTTTATCCCGGGGGAAAGAAATGTCAACGATGGCTTTAATGGCACACAAAAGGTTACGTCGCTGCACTTGACCACCCATCTAATCCACGTAGACTTGTGATAGCACAAAACCCACCTGCAGATATATTTCAGGAGATTGTAATTGGCCTGAGGCAGATTAGTGACCTGCTTGATCAGTTCCTGGACACCCTGAGTAAAAAGAATTAGATTATTAATTCTCATTCTGGTTAGTGCAGAATACTTGGTGATTTTAACCTGACCTGCCCACAGTGAATATCAGGCAGTTAAAATCACTCCATTTACATTTCTGCCCTAGAGGGTTCTTCTGGTGCAATGGTACCTCTGAGCCAAGAGACCCACATTTGAAGTCCCTCCTGCTCCCGAGATGCGTAATGATATTTCTCAACTGGTTGATGGGAAAATATCTACTGTGCTGCCCCAGAGCCACCAGAAGGTACCTACAACCATCTCAGGCAACTGCTTAAAGGATCATTTTTAAATGTAATCTGTCACCTCCTCATGTCGTCCAACCATTGTGAAATTTAATTCAAATCCAGTTATGCGACATGTTCTAGTGCTTGCATTGGAACTTACATGAAGCATAAGGACATCACTTATTTAGGCAGCTCCTTTACTCCTTTGTGCTCAAAGGCAAGAGAATGCTTCAAAACCTGTTGAGAGCATCTAGAGACCAGGATCTGACTCTTCATCAATCTATACCTAGCAGAAGCATTTGTTGCTTCTTGAAATAGACTTTGCATACGGTGTTGAGTGTAACTATCTCCTGATAGAGCCTGTACCTCCTGCTTACAAATTATAGTGGACAGCTTGAATCATTTACTTCTATCTTGCTCAGTTTTGGCTTTTAAGTGGTATAGTGTAGCGAATTTACTGAAAGTAACAGCAGGCAGATGGGACTAATTTAGTTTGGGACTATGTTCGGCATGGACTGGCTGGACCGAAGGGTCTGTTTCTGTGCTGTATGACTCTATAATACGGAATAATCCAATCTCTGAGAATGCTGGCAACCAGGATGTTATGTGTTCAGTACAATACGTGGTAACACTCTGGGTAGACGTACCTCTTCTTGATCCTTAGCCAACAGTTGTGCACATGACAGGAAGTCTTCATACTTGGCAAATGGAATCACTGGCTCAGGTAACTCTCTCAGGTACAGCTTCAGCAAGGATGCAACCGTGTGGACATCAGTGTTCCTGCAAAAACAAATTGTGAAACGTCTGATTCCCAGTTATTGCAGCTGACCGTGATTTATGAGCATTTGTTGTCAGACTTCCAGCAGTAGTTTATCAAGTGTTTTATGAACCAGCAAAAGGCTAATTTCGCTTCATGACTGTCCATACAAGACATCTGCTTCATGGTGTGGACAAGGAATATTAAAATTTGTACTAATTCTGAACCACAAAGCTTTAGTGATCACTGTAGAAAAAGAATCAAAATTAAACAGTCTGAATAATTCCATTTTGCTATTAGGCGTATGAATAGCACATTTCTTTGAGACCATCAAGTTTTGAGTTCTGTAGAGCTGTGAGAATTTGAGAAAAGGAACCAGGTTCGATGAGAAGTTAAGGAGGTGAGGGGTGACACAAGATGCTGCCTGGCCGCTGTGTTCCTCCAGCTCCATACTGTGTTGTCTCTGGCTCCAGCATCTGCAGTTCTTGCTATCTCTAGGTAAGGGGTGATCTATCAAAACAAAAAAAGCCTTCTTCAGCCCTGTTCTTATGTTTCATTCCATGTGCATTTCTACTTAGAAAGTGCAGCTCCAACAACACTCAAGAAGCTTGATGGTCTCCGGGCTTAATTGGCACCACATCCATAAACATCCACTCCCTCCACCACTCATGCTCAGTATCAGCAGTATGTCATACCTTCAAATGCACGACAGAAATTCACCAAGGTTCCTTAGACAAACCTACAACCAATCACCTTCCAAATCTACAACCGTAGCCATGTAGAAGGACAAGGGCAGCAGATACACGGGAACGCTACCATCTGAAAGTTTCCCTCCAAGCCACTGACCATCCCTGACTTGGGAAATATATCACCATTCCTTCAGTGTTGCTGGGTCAAAATCCTGAAACTCCTTCCCTAAGGGCATTCTGAGTCTACATTCACCAAATGGGCTGCTGCAGTTTGAGGTGGTAGCTCAAAATCACCTTCTCCAGGGCAATTCATGATGGGCAATAAATGTTAGCCCACCCAGGAATGTTCACATCCCACTAATGAATTCTAAAGAAATAGAAGATTGACCCGATGTAAATCAGCAGAATCTGGATTTCAATCAGGCAAAAGCTGGCTAGTTGTCAAACCAATCAAATGGCAGTTTAATTGTGCCTGTATAGGCAATAGTCTGTTTCCTGACACTCCCACTAACTGGATAGCATGCTCCCTCATCTGTAGCCGACTGAAGGTCATGAGCCTTAGCTCCCAGTGGAAATGAAGCAGCCTTGAATTGATGGAGGGTTTTCAATCATCTCACACTAGGCTGGATTCAATCCAAAACAGTGTCTGATGTACATATTTCTCAAACTAGTACAATTGCAAACTACAAAGCAGTTTAAACTTGCAAATTGCAATGGAACTAGAGGGACCATAGTGGAAAGAAAAGAGGAAAGATATTCCATTTGAAAATGACCATGCGTACAAAGTTCTGATGAGTAGGATGTAGTGCATTAATTAATTTCAGTACAAAAAGGTCAGATAGATAATGAGGGCAATGAAAATATGAACAAATCTGCAGTTAGGAGAGACAATGTTGAATTTGAAATTAATATGTACCAGCATTTCTAGTGTACAATTTGTGATTTCTTTTATTCTACAGAAACCCTCTGACAACAATGCATTCCAGGAAGAATTAGTTCTCCATGCCATCATTTGGCAATGATGATTAGCTATAGAAGTGGTTGCGCAATACCGCAACACACGAAGAATAATGTGGGATTTCAGTTCGACAGCCATTTGAGTAAAGCATTAAACTATTGCTTATTAAATTAGCCTTGAGAGGTTTGAGCGTTCAAGTCATGGAAGTTGAAATAATCAAAATTTCAGCACACATTACCTGTCAAATAGAGGTTTTTCTCCACAATCAAAAGAATCCTGGAGTTCTTTGACCAGGTTGGCTTGCCCGGGCATGCGGAATAAGCCCTCTTCAGTGAGGCCATGCTCTCTGATAAAGTCCACACACTGTTCGACTAATAAGGGAGCAAGCCGCTTTCCAAACTTCCGCTCGTATTGGACCGTATCTTCCAAACGCTGTCCAAATATACCTGAAAATAAATCGGAATTCCAGCTGTGATTTCCCTCGGCACAGACTTCAATACAAAGTCTCTGATTGATAGTGAATGCTTTCAAAATCAGTGCAGTGAGCTGAAACACTATCAGAAGTTAAAAAGGAGGCAACTCAAAACACTTTAATTACAACGTGGTGGATCAATTTAAAAAGCCGCAGGTTTGTCAAAGAAAAAAATCTTTCTTCTTCGTGTGGGTTTTTCAAAAGATAACTTCAAACACTTCCTTTCCACTCAACATTAGTCGGTACAATCCCAGACACTGCTCCCTTATCTCTCTTTCACAGCTGGGAAGAATACAGAAGAAAAGAACATAAGAATAGTTGATCATTTCAAACCTACAGTCCTCAGCCACAACTCCTTGCCTTTTTTGATACAGTACAGATCTGGTGTGTGCTCTCTCAACTCCACTCCTGACCTAGAAGTGTAGCAAAGTTGAGGATACAACGTCACAAGGAAACATAAAAATGCAATAGAGAGTTTTCTGAAGAAGGGTCTAGGCTCGAAATGTCAGCTTTCCTGCTCCTCTGATGCTGCTTGGCCTGCTGTATTCATCCAACTCCACACCTTGTTATCTCTACAAAAATGCAATACACAGTTTTTGATATTTTCAGAATAAATAAGTATTTGATAGCATCAACGTTGTTGCAATTCTGTGACCTCTGGCTTGTGGTGGATTCACTGACCTTAAGGACAAGTGGGGATAGGCAATAAACAATGGACTTGCTAGCAATACTCTCATCCCACAAACAAGAAATGTGTTCTACATAGAGTCATACAGCACAGAAATAGACCCTGCGGTCCAACTCGTCCATGCCGACCAGGTATCCCAAACTTAACTAGTCCCATTTGCCCTACATTTGATCCATATCCCTCTAAACCTTTCCAAATTCATGTACCTGTTCAAATGTCTTTTAAATGTTCCAACTGTACCCACCTCTAACACTTCCTCTTGCAGCTCATTCCATATATGCACCATCCTCTCTGTGGAAAATGTTGCCTCACAGTCACTTTTAAATCTTTCCCCTCTTACCTTAAATCTTTGCACTCCAGTTTTGGACTCTCCTACCCTTGGGAACAGACCTTGGCTATTCACCTTATCAAACCCCTAATAATTTTATAAATCTCAATAAGGTCACCCCTCAGCCTCTGACCCTCCAGGGAAAGAAAATTTCCAGTCTATTCAGCATCTCCTTATAACTCGAACCTTCAAGTCCAGGCACCTTTTTCAGTTTAATAACATCCTTCCTACAGCAGAGCAACCAGAATTGTACGCAGTATTCCAAAAGTGGCCTCACTTATGTCATGTACAGCCACAACATGACTTCCCAACTCCTATACTCAATGCAATGGCTAATGAAAGCAAGTGTGCCAAATGCCTTCTTCACTACCCTGACTATTTTTGACACCACCTTCTAGGAACTACGAACCTACACCACTAAGTTCAACAACACTCCCCAGGGCACTAAAATTAATTTGAGAGTCCTGCCCTGGTTTGTCTTACCAAAATGCAACCACTCACATTTATCTAAATTAAACTCCATCTGCCACTTCTCGGCCCGTCTGATCAAGATCTCTTTGTATTCTTAGATAACCTTCTTCACTCTCCACTATACCACCAATTTTGGTGTCATCTGCAAGCTTGTAAACCTATATTCTCACCCAAATCGTTGATATAAATGACAAACAACTGTGGACCCAGCACCAATCCTTGCAGCAACTGCTGGTCATAGGCCTCTATTCCAATAAACAACCCTACACCACCACCCTCTTGTCTCCTACCATCAAGCTATACAGTGATCCTGGGTTGGATTAGGTCCATTAACTACACTTTCTGTTTCTGATTGCTATCCACTGAGTCTTTAATAATGCCCATATGGAACATGATCACACTTGATAGTGATGTCCGATTCCAGTCAAATAACATGATTATTTCAGATAAGTTTTCAGGCATGGTACGGGGAGGGTCACAAGTCCCTGTGTAAATGTATCCCACCAGGTGGCAGCGTGTTGGGGAGTGGATAGAATCATTGATGGGAGAAATGTCTTGAGAAAGAGCTTGCTTACACTTGTCCAGCTTAAAACAAAAGCGAGTCTAATGATGACTGTGAAACCATTGTAGATTGTTGTTAAATCCCATCTGATTCACTACTGTCCTTTTAGGGAAGGAAACCGTCATCCTTATCTGACCGACATATGACTCTAGACCCACAGTAATGTGGCTGACTCAAATTGCCCTCTGGTAAGCAGGGATGGGCATCAAATGCTGGCACTGCCATCAACGCCAACATCGCATAAATGAATTTTAAAAAGTAAGTGATCAGTGATGAGTGTCTGGGTCAAACCTGAAAGTAAACGTAAATGACAGCAGGGGTCAAAAGGTGTTCTCTCTCTCTCTCTCTCTCCTTTCTCGTTCCCATTTGCCATATGAATGTAGAAAGATATATATTTGAGGAAAGTATAGCACTGAAGCAGTTTAGTCCATGAGCTAAGTTAAATAAGGAGCTTGTCCACAGTATGCTACAGTCTGTTCAAACATGAACTAAATGGCCCATTTAGTTTAGGTAGTCATGCAGTAAAAAGCACTTTTCTAATCTCCCCAGTGCCTCTCTCAGTAAGTGGCAATGCAAGTTAAAAAAAAATCATTAGAATGTGCAAACAAAGAGCAGGGATTTATTCCTAGAGATATAACATTGAAAAGCAGAAGTTGTGTCAAATTTATGCAGGGCCTTAATTAGACAGCATTTTCATTATTCTGGTATCCCCTTTGCTAAAACAAAAACAAGAACTGAAGAAGAGATAACACAGTGTGGACCTGGAGGAGCACAGCAGGCCAGGCAGCATCAGAGGAGCAGGAAAGTTGATGTTTTAGGTCAGGACCCTTCTTCAGAAATGAGGAAGGGGGGAAAGGGAGCTCTGACATAAACTGAAGAAGGTGAGAGAAGAATTACAAGGACGATAACGGAACAGAGAGGGTACACATCGGGGATGAGTGAACAACCTGGACCCCTTCTCTATGGGGATCTTATACAGTCGTTAGAATTATGAAGAGGATCAGTCAGGGAGATGTAAAGAAGGCAATTCCTTATGAAATCATCCTAAGCTGCAGCAATAAACGTAGATAGTTACAAAATATCTCTATGAAAGTAATTCAGGAGAATCTTCTTTACCTGGAGAGTGATGAGAAGGTAGAACACTCTAACTTTGGATTAGTTCCAGCCAATAGCATAGTTGGATTTAAGGAGAAGCCAAATGAATACATGAGGGAGATAGGAAGAGAAGGATTTGCTGAGTAGATTAGAGATGAAAGGTGGAAAGAGGCTCATGTGAAGCATAGACACTGGCCACGTGCCCTGTTTGTGTAGCAACAGTTACACTGTGCCTTAGATGTCACGTTTTATCCTATTGTCTGTGGAGAGCTGTCTCTATGGTTCTGGGTTAATGAGGACAGAAACAAGATGCTTACACCTGATCTCCGGTACGTGTTCACTGGGTGAGGAGATACTCGGATTTAAATGTGGTTCTCAAGACAGAATTGCTCAGTCATCAGCTGGCCTCTCACTACTGGTAGGAAAAGGTCAGAAGTCACACGACACCAGGTTATAGTCCAACAGGTTTATTTGGAATCACAAGCTTCTGTAGCGCTGCTCCTTCATCAGGTGAAGTTAAGAGAATCACACAGGCACAGAATTTATAGGCAGAGAGATTAAAAGATCACACAAATGGTGGGAGTGGAGTGTCACCAGGCTGAGTAATAGGTCTCTGCAGGTGATCAAAAGTGTCAGACGGTGTGAGTAAAGTGTCAAAGTGAAGTGATGGCCTATAATCTGATGAATTGAGGCAGAGAGATAATTGCAAAAAAATTTTAAAGTGAGACAAACCAAATGGCTAGAATAACACGATAGGTATAACAGTCGCATGCCAAGGGTCTAACCAAAGTAATAAGTAATTCAAAACTGTACAAATTAATTAAGGTAGTGAGTTCATAACAAGTTAGCAAAGAAATGGTGTCAAAACAGGAGAGTAAGGGAGATGTTACAGATGCAGAACAGTGTAGTGGGGTTACATGTAGCACGACATGAACCCAAGATCACAGGTGAATCAAGTTCTGTACCCAAGAAGATGGACTATCAGTTTCTGCTCTGATTCTTCTGCTTGTGATTTCAAATAATCCTATTGGACTACAATCTGGTGTCGTGACTTCTGACCTCGTCCACCCCTGTCCAACACCAGCACCGCCACACACTGGTAGGAGAGCACTCACTGAACTGTATTTCAATAGATATTTGGAACTAAATATGGATGCTTCAAAGGCACATGACCAAACCAGGAGACCACAGCGTGACCAGGAATTGGTCCTCAGCCCTTCTCTACATTGTTAATGTATGTTCTCTCTGCTGAAAAGACATCCCAAGGGAAAAAATTTCTATTTTGAGTCACCGGTCTCAAAAGGGCAAGGGTCCTGGGAGATGAAATGTATTCCTGGCTCCACAGGGTTGAAAGAAAGGTTCCAAACGCATTTTTTTTCCTTTACCAGTGCTCTCTGATCACAGGAGTCTCTGAGGAATCTTGCAACAAACAGTAGGCTTGTGATTCCAAATAAACCTGTTGGACTATAACCTGGTGTCGTGTGACTTCTGACCTTTTCCTACCAGTAGTGAGAGGCCAGCTGATGACTGAGCAATTCAGTCTTGAGAATCACATTTAAATCTGAGTGTCTCCTCACCCAATGAGCACGTACTGGAGATCAGGTGTAAGCATCTTGTTTCTGTCCTTATTAGCCCAGAACCATAGAGACAACTCTCCACAGACAACAGGATAAAACAGGTGACACATGTATTGGCTTAAAACCACCTTTAGCTCACTGAATGGGATGCTGAGAAACAAAACAGGCTGTTCAAATTTAGCAGATCAACACTGACTGCCCTAATGATACATTGGAATGGTTTGCTCCTATTTTAAGCCCAAAAAAATGACTG